GCTCTTCCGGATCAACCCGTCCGTCAAGCGCACCCCGAAGAGCTTGACCTCGCAGTTGGAGCATTTCTTGGAGTTGTGGCCGTTGTGGCTGCAATGCGAGCAGCGCCGCGTCATTTTTGGGTCCGGGCTCGGCAGATCGAGGAAGGGGCGGAGGGATGAGAGAGAAGAAGGGAGGAAGAAGAAGAAGAATAATATAATAACAAATTATATGGCTTTTTATTTAAATAAGAAAAAAATGCCACCTGTAAAAAAAAAATACCATCTCATCAAGATAAGTTACGTGGGTTTTCCACGTAATTATTGTTATTTTTTTAAATGTGATTTTGTGGCAAGATAACGTGCCACCTGTCATTTAACTGACGGAAGGATCATTTTGGTACCAAAAATGAAAATTCAAGGATAATTTTGGTACTTTTTAAAGATAAGGGACAATTTTGGTACCAAAGTGGATAGTTGAGGGACCAAAATGGTACTTAAACCATTAACTTAATTATTTTAAAATTCATTTAATTTATAAATTCATTTTTATTTGACGTGGAAAAAAGAAAACAATTTGTTTTTTTTTTTCATGTGGGCCCCACAAAAAGTGGGGAAGCAATCTGACATGTAAAAATGCCACGGTGTCAAAAATGCCCTTGCTGGATTTACACGTCATTAAAAATGAAAAAAGCCGATGATTTTGTGGGATCTTAACGAGTCACCTGGCGTTTAACTGACGGAAGGACCATTTTGGTACCAAAAATAAAAGTTGAAGGATAATTTTAGTACTTGTTAAAGTTGAGGGACAATTTTGGTATCAAAGTGATAAGTTGAGGGACTAAAATGGTACTTAAACCAAAAAAGAACTCAAAACTCTTTTGTCCCCTTTTGTCAGATTAGTTCTTTTTAAAGAATTCTATGAGAATGAATATATCACTTATAAGAGGTGAATAAAAATTAACCCATGGCTCATGCCACAGGTCGAGCCGGGCTATTCCTTTGTTACATTTGCTTAGAACATAAAAGAAGAAAAAAAGTCCACAATACCAATTTAATTAAGATAAAACCATGCTTACCTGTAACCTTTGAATGCTTTAAGCTAAAACCATGCTTACCTTTGACCATGAATACTTTAATAGTTTAACATGGTATCCGGAAGCGCAAATGGTCAAATTGATCCATTGGATGGCGGTAGTTTTGTCATCAACCACTCCCATATGTTCATACTTGCACATTAAATTAGAAAATTTAAGTACACCCATTTATAACTAATATATATAGAAATTTATAAAAATTAATTTGAATTTAATTAATTAATTAAAATTATTTACGTAATAATAATATAAAAAATAAATATTAATTTTTATTATTTTTTATGTAAATTAATAATAAAAATATATATTTACTACGTCTTAACTTGTAAGCCAAAGTTTAGACAAACCCATTAAATGAATGGCAACTTCGTAACTTCACACCAATTTCATCAGACATCAATGGCTATTTGCCCTTCAAATGCATGGGTTTTGAAGGTTTTGAAGGAAGGCAAATGGGATATTCAGGACTTTTTCTGATCTTATTTTTCTCTGTTTTTCTTATAAATCTCGTTTCTGCTGCCGATCCTTACTTCCAGTTTAATTGTGTTAACGATGGCAACTTCACCGCAAACAGCACCTATGGGACCAACCTCAACCTTCTGTTTTCTCAGCTATCCACCACGGCGGATTTCAATCATGGGTTCTACAATCTATCCGTCGGTTGGAGCCTTGACCAGGTCAACGCAATCGGACTCTGCAGGGGAGACCAAAAGGAGGTCGCTTGTAGAAGTTGCCCGATCGAGACCATCTCCGAACTCAAGCAGCGATGCCCCGAATATAAAGAGGCAATCGGATGGTCGGAATACTGTACGTTACACTAGTCAAGTCGACGAGTCTTTGGATCCATGGAATCCGAACCTGAGAGGATTTTGTATAATGCTGACGACGCGTCAGATGGTGATGTGTTCATTTGGGAGCTGAGCCCCTTCTTGAGAGACTTGAGCAGAGATGCGGCAGCCGGAGGACCTCTTCTCAAATATGCGGCGAATTACACGGCTGGTATTTACGCTCTCGAGCAGTGCACGCCCGACCTATCACAGAAGGATTGCAGCCAGTGGCGGAGCCAGGGGGTTGCGAGGGGCGGCGCTTGCCCCCCTGAAATTTGAGAATCTTGCAAATTAACATAAGAAAAATTATCTAGCCCCCCCTGAACTTTGAAAATTTTAGTATTTTGCTCCCAAAAAAAATTTCTGCCTCCGCCCCTGATTGCAGCGATTATCTAACAACGGCAATCCGTAAGATCCCTGAAGCTTACCTGTTTAGGAAAATCGGAGGCAGAATTCTACAACCCAGCTGTAATTTGAGATATGAGACCAGACCATTTTTCGCAGCCGTAGATAGCATTCCTCAGCCACAGCCACCGACACCGCCACCGCAAGGTGAAGTGCGCTTCTTTTCTTTTCAGGTAATTGTACTTTTAGATAATTATATTATGGGTCCATTTCATACAGCAATTTGGAGATAGGGACTAATATTTTTGTCCAAACTATTATGTAAATTCATTTATTTTGATACTATTATAAATTAAATATTTGATAAAAATTTTATCTAGTGGTTTGGGATCAATGTATAGCGGTTAAGGTTCAAACTGTTATTTGATTAAAAAAACTATTTAAAATAATTATTTATATTAAACCATTAACAAATTAAAATTTTTTAATTTTATTAACAAATTTATTTTTTTAACTTTTTAATTTTTTATCACGGTTTTTAATTAGTACTTATTTAATTAGTTTCAACTTTATTTTTTATCTTTAATAATATTAAG